CGAGTATATGAAGCAAGGTTATGTAAAAATTGCAAAACGAGGATAACACACACTCATTGGAACTACATAAATCAGCTGCCTGCACAGTGGTAAAAATGGAAAGAGATCGGCCTGATGGAGGTAGTTGAATTTCATGTGCCCTAGGCTACCTTAGTTCACAAAAGGGGGAAAAAACCCCACTAACATACCAAGTTAAGGGGGTGAAAATCTTAGAACTGAGACATCTGGTGGGGTGGAGAGAGAACTGAGCTGGCTGCTGGGGAGCCCAGGGTCCTCATCCTTAGCTATTGTGTTGGACTGTCCTTCCTCATTTCTAGGCCCTGAAAGGGCTTCATTAGATGATTTCTAGGGACCATTCCAATGCTACAAAGTCTGTGATTATGTGACACATTACACATTAGGGCTTCAAAAAATACTATAGAAGGTTTTGGGGAAAAGCCCATGCTTCTATGGGCTTCAAGGGGTTGACTATCAAACTTCATTAAAAGGAATGATGATCTCTATAGGAAGACACAGTCCCTAATCTCAAGGAATCTAGAGTCTGGTGCTCCTCTCTGCTGACCGAAGGAGTCAAGTGGGTAGAAGCTTGAAATAAAGGCAGCTAAGGCAGAAGGCCAGCCTAGTGGTTTAAAAAAAATGTTTTAAGGAGAGCCTGAAATCATTTGAGCATTTCTTCCCACACTTCTTCCACACATCAGTGGGATTGTTAGACGATCCCTCTTCCTTCCTTCTGTGGACCTCCATCGTAATTCAGGATCTTTTTTGCTTTGGAAGTTTCCTGTGCCCTAATAGCCAGCCTAAGGGAGGTCAGTGGAATTGAACTTGTTAATTACCTATAGCATTTGAGGTCCTGTTCTAAGAATCGGGGCTGCACTATGACCTCTGTGGTGGACCCTAGGTGCTGATACGATTTGTACTTTGGAGGGGAAGCTTCTCCAGGAGAGTGGACAGGGATCTGATGGTTTTAGAAGATCCTGTTGCCTGACTCATTTCTCCTCTGACCTTATTTTATATACCACCTGTGGATGCAATGAATCAAATCTGATTTTCAGAAACGGTTTGTGAAATTAGCTTCCAATTACTTTCTAGTCACACCTTTAGGTTTCCCTGAATACAGTGAGCAGACCACATGTTCTAATCACTTTCTAATGATTTTCTAATTAATCAAACTGGTCTCCCAAGTGAGGATCTAGAAGAAAGTGAGTGTGTATGTGTGGTATATATGTACACACCCACATCTCAGTACGAGAATGTAAAGTCCAAAGCCCAATCTCAAGTGATCTTTGCATTAGTCACTCATTCCATTTCAGCTCCACCTCTTCTCTCTTCCACTTGTAGAGATAATGGGGAGTTAACTCTAGTTTGAATCCCAATCAAAAATGTTAGAAATGGACTCCAAAAGCAGGGCTGTAACTCCTACTGTTGTGTGCTACCTTTCTCAGAGGCCTTGAACAGAATTCTGCTGGTTTTCCTCTGTGTACTCTTTCTTTTCTTAAATACAAAACAGACTTGGAAGTATCACGACCGCTTGGTGTGCTACGCAAAGTTGATAGAGACAAGAGACGTGGTCCACAGCTTCCACTACATCTACTATGTGCGCTGGAGTCTCCCAACTGCTCAGAGGCCCATGATACCACAGTCTGCCTATGGCTTCTTCACCGTCAAGTTCAACAAAAACAAACCTCCGGTAAGCTCTACCCTTTCTGCCCCGTTTCCTTTGATGAGAATTCAATGAAAATGGAGACTTCTCTCGTCAAGGCACCTATGGCCCCTTCTTTGTAAAACTTACTAGTCATATCTCTGTGCTCATTCTGCTTGACCCATTGGCATCACTTGCCATAGCTGATCGCTCCCTCCTTCATTAAACATTCAACATGGCCTCTAGACCAGCATATTCTCCTGGTTTTCCTCCTGCCTCACTGGCCATTCCTTCTCACTCTCTACTGGTTTTGCCTCCTCCCATCAACTTCTTCATGTTGGAATGTCCCAAAACTTAGGCTCTGGACTTCTTATTTGTATTCATTGCCTTGATGATCATATCTAGTCTCCTGGCATTAAATGACACCTCTAGCTTTTTTATTTTAAGATTTTATTTTTTTATTTTTAGAGAGGGGAAGGGAGAAAGAGAGGGAGGGACACATCAACGTGTGGTTGCCTCTCATTCGCCCCCCCCAATGGGAACCTGGCCTGCAACCCAGGCATGTGCTCTAATTAGGAGTTGAACCAGTGACTCTTTGGTTCACAGGCTGGCACTCAATCTACTGAGCCACACCAGCCAGGGCCCACCTCTAGTTTTTGATTCTCAAATTTATATCTCCAGCCCAGACTTCTGCCACTAGGATGTTTAAAAAACATCTCACTTATTGTAACCAGAATTGAACTTCCAATTTTCCCTCCCAAACCTGATCTGCAGTTTCCCCCATCTCAGTTGATGACCGAAATCCTTGGTATTATTGGTGACTCTCTCTCATCCCTCATCCGATCCATTAGGAATTCCTGTTGGCCCTACCTTCAAACAGGTCTTGAATCCAACAATTTCTTACCACTCCACTTCTACCACCCTGATCCAAAGCAGCATCATCTCTCATCAAGATGATTTCAATGGCCTTCTGATAGGTTCTCCCGCTTTCACCCTTGCCCTCATCATGTCTCTTTTCAATATAGCAGCCAGCCAGTGACCCTTATAAAACGAATTTATGTCACTCCTCTGTTTAAACACGTTCCAACGTGTTTCTCAGACTTCAAAGTGAATGCAAATATTTGGGGACCTTGTTCTAAGGAAGATTCTGATTCAGCAGGTTGGAGGTGGGGCTTGAGATTCTACACGACTAAGAAGCCCCCAGGTAATGCTGATGCTGCAGGTCCACAGAGTATACTTTGAGTGGTAAGGGCCTACAAGGCCTTGTGTGATCCAGCTCCCTGGTATTTCTGCTTTCCTACTACTCCTTCTCCCCCACTTCTGTCTCCGGCCACTCTGATCTTGCTACTCTCTCTGACTGGAACACTCTCCCCTAGGTAAGTGCCTAGATGGCTCTCTCACCTCCTACACTGTACTTTCAACCCCCCACTCCTCCACCTGCCAATGCTTTTGCTTTTTCTCCATAACATTCTATCACCTTCTGATATAATTTATCTTGTTATTGTCTGCTCTCCCTACCAGAAGGTAGGTTCCATGAAGGCAAGGATTTTTGTCTTGCTGTAAAACAAGGCCTAGAAAATAGTGGGCACCCAATAAATACCTGAAGGAATGCCTGCTTGTAGCTGTTAGGGAGAGCATGAATATGAAATGTGGTGATAGTTGCTGTGAAGAGAGTCAAAATAACATGAATCCAGGCATTGGGTTCTCAGAGGAGCAGGGCTGATACTAAGCATAATGCCTGGAGCACAGCAGACATAAAAATGTTATGTCCCCTTTGCTTTCCATCCTTTTACAAAAGTTATTTGAACCTTTGCCTGACTCTAAGGCTTCATATGTGACTACATACTGAGTTAATTATATCCTGTAATTCATGCTATTCTAGTACAAACATCTTTTCAGAGAGTTTGGAACCTAAAGTAATCTAAATAGGTAAAATATGTGGCACTCTTGCTTCTCCCGGTCCTATATCCCACCACCAGCCGTGTTGGTAACTGGTGAATCCAGAGACTGGAAAGTAAGGTGGGTGGAGGTAAGCAAGACCATTAACCAGTGACCACACAGACACGGCTTGGGAGAAGGGCTTTTGCTCAGAATTCCGAGTATCATTTTGGAGGGGAGAATGGATGGGGACCACTGAGACAATATTATAGCCTACATTGTTATGCTTTAAAAAGGCCTACATTGTTATGCTTTAAAGCATTGTTATGCTTTAAAAAGGTTTTCAAACTCGTTCATCTATATTATTTTACTCTTACGACATTCCTAAGGGGTAAAGCAGGTAGTGTCAGTTGATTAAACAGGAACATGTAAAGGAGGTAAATGACTTACTCAATGAGCCTAAGCCTCTCTTGACTTGTTTCCAATGTCGGAGTGATGCTTAAGATATCTGTTGCCAAAAAGATCTTTTGGAGAACAGAGGTTTGAAGTGACAAAAAATTACCCCCTACAGACCCCCACTCACTAGGAAGATCAATTCTAGAAATTTAAGAGTATACATATGAACAAGTATAGAGATGGAAGGAATCATGAGTTGGTATGATTGGTCTAGGCTGACAACTGTCCTTTTCTTTCTTAGGATGCACCCATTGACGTCTCTTATTCCTTTGAGGGCCAGTCACTGCTTCACAGGTAATGAACATTTGGAGAGTTATTTTAAATGGGTGGTAGATAAAGGCTGTCACACCGCAGGAATCCAGCTGGCCCACAGTCACAGACAATTCATGTAATGATCATCTTTCTCATTTGGACCACTTACCCTATTAGGATGGGCTAAAAGTAGGATACTGCCATTGTTCTAGAAAATGTTTTGTTTTTTTTTTTTTTAGGGGGGATGCTTTTTAGTGTCTTGTTTTTCAGTGATTAGAAACTTGAGGGTTAGTTGCTGGAGTAGGGTGGGGGTAAAGTGGGTCATGTCCATTATTTCTATGGGAAAATTCACAATTACATGGAATTAACTCATGTATAATAATCCCCTTCATTTGTATAGCAGCTCTCTTAAAGAATCTTTACATATAAGCTCATTCATTCTTTTATTGATTGGGCCTAAGGAATAGCTACAGACAGTCTTCACCCCTTCACACTGAAAAGGCTTTTTGCTCACAAGGAATGTAACTGAGTAAACAGGGAACCAGTCTTTGGCTCAATGTTTTCTTTTATTTTAAGAAACTTTTGGTGTATTTGTTTTTTTTCTTCTGCAGACCAGGAGTTGCTCACTTTCCAGAAAACTGCTTGATTTACGTGATTGAGGCCAAAAATAAGTTTGCAAAGCCATTTGTCTCTGAATTCAATTATGTCTGATTCTTAGAGAATGTGTTAGGATTGGATTTCTAATCTAAATGTATTAATAATACAATACTTCACATCAAACCACAAAACATTTATTGAATAATAAACTTGTGGCACACAATCCAGCTGTATTTTTTTTGCATTCATTCATTTTCCATTTGGCAACTTCCGTCATGCTAACAGAGTAAACCACTAAGTTGTTTTCTATTTTCTCAAAGTTTTTCCCCATCACTATCTGCCTCACTCAGAGTCTTACAGATATAGAAGCTGAGTTTGGAGAGCTGCTAAAATTCACCTCCCAGAGCAACAGAGATTGCTACTTGACTGCTCTTCCCCCCATTTGAGCCTGTGTCTTGCCCAGATACACCTCTTTATGAGCACAGATGGGGAACAGAAAAATGGCAACAGTTCTATGGCTCATAACATAACCAGTCAGTCTGACGGGTTTCTCTACTCACAGACCCCTTCATTTACTGTGAGGTAAGCCTCCTTGTTAAACACAGTCTGAAACTCAAACTGGGCATCATCACAATCATGATGGCAGCAGTGTGGTTTCAGGACTGGGGGCAAAAAAAAAAAAGGGGGCCAAAAAAAAAACCCACGGAAGGCTCGGTCTCCACCCTCACTTATTTCTTGTTTTCTTCCCATCCTCACACCAGATTATCAATTGTTCCTACCATCCCAGTGAGGCTGTCTTGCCTGGATGCAAAATTTTAAAATACCAAAGACAAATTACATTAGGAGTGATTACTCATAGGTACATCAGAATACGTATTTACATAGACAAGCACTGGAAGTGAACACAGAACCCTGAAGACAGTTGATGTGGTAAGAATGTGGGTAGTTTTTTTCTTCTTTTTTTAACTGTTATATTTATGCAACAAATAAAAAAAGGAAGGAAAATTTTAGAGCAACAGGTAAGGAGGTGGGAAACTAGAGAAGTCTCCCTGGAGAAGAAAAAAATGTAGTATTTCAAATACAACAGCCCTCCTATTAGAATTATGGCTCCGGTGACTAAGCACACAGTTTGAAGTAGTAACTCTCATGAGCTGAAAATAAAATTCTTTCAGCCCTTTTATTCTTCTTTCCCCTTTCCCCCAAAATATGCCACCAAAGCTATTCTTGGCACATCTTTCCTGAACACTGATGAAAGCAATGGTAAAGCTCTGAAATTAAGTTAATATATTTTCTTCTATTTACTCAACAAGCATTTGTTGGGTATCTGCTCCGTGGAGGAGACAGGAGAATCTCATAAAAATCCATAATATTCATGTATCACAAAATTGCTGCATTTGAACTATCTTGCCTACTAGAAATAAGAGAACAGGCTCATTTAGGTCTAGGAGCCAGTAACAAGAAATAACATTCTTAGATAACAAAATATTTAAATGGGGATTATAAATTTTGGTTTTATTACACAGGGAAGTAGATGGATTACAACTCATAAATTTGGGACCTAGTTAGTTTCCTTTTAACTTTTGGAAAAAACCGAATTTCTCAGCAATAATTATAAATAGAAATCACTTCAAATTCAGGGGCCATACATGTTGCTACATCCCAACTGGCTGTTTAGTTCATTAGTTGTGGGTTAAAGGTAGACATTTTCCCAGAATATATGCTAAAGAGAGTAAAAGTTCTGATTTATGCTTTGAAATCTTACTGCCTTATTTTAAAACTTTGAAAAAATGACTTTAAACTATTCTAAGGAGAGAGAAGAGGGCATTTTATAAGAGCAGAGTCAGAATTTCCTTATCACCCAGGTAAATTTAAATTTATCCTAGGTACAAAATAGTAATGCAGCTCAAAACAACCTTAACAAAAACAACCCGAACTTCCACTGTCCCCTCCCCCTTCACTCTTGTGACCTAATGACTAAAACTGAATGACATAGGGAAGGAAAAAGACTGTAATCTCATAGTTCCAAAATTTTCCACTTCTCCCAAACTTAAAAGTCAATAGTAGACATAAAAAAGTGATAAAGTGCGGGGGTTTTATACAAAGTTAGAGATTAAACTGAATCATGGATGTAAAAACCAATCTGAAAGGTTAAACAACATTTAAAATAAAATCTGCCTATTATATAAAAGACAGGCAAAATGTTTAATATCATTTTAGTTTCATCCTTATAAACCGAGTTAAAATAATGATTCATTAGATTTTTCCCTATTAAGCTACTGACCATAGTTGACTTCCATTAATTTCTAGTATTCAAATTATGACCTACATAAAGCTTAGATGGAAATAATGTACTTATAGTGGCACAACAACAGACTTTCCAATATTTTATATTTGGAAAAAAACTTTTAAGTAACCTACTAAGAATTTTTAAAACTAATGTTCACATTTTCAATTCAACAAGTCTGTGGGTTAGTTTGCTTTTTGGTTTATTTGCTGGTTTGGGGATTGGTCAGGGACTAAAACCAAAGTACATTATTCGCAGGGCGGATGATATATATTGTAAAATAAAAGTCAATCTTCACATTCCAGATTTTCTTTTTCCAGCAATGCGTTCATTGTGTTGACAAAACTGGCCTCCTGTATGTTTCTATCAAGTCTACTCATAATATACTCAATATAGAGGAATGGTAATTTCCCACCAGTTCAGTTGGGGTGGGGGCGGATGTCATGTAGAGCTATGAGTAGCACTGTCCCATGGTGTGAGAGTTAAGTTTCTCATCTCACTGACATTTTTTTTCTTTTAAAACATTTTAAATATATATATTTAAAAAATCAATTATTGTTCAAGTATAGTTTTCTTTTACTCCCACTGACATTTTCTCTCAATGTCACCTCCCCCAATACAGTAGGATTTCATTTGTAATTTGGATTTTTAAACCAGAAAGTTTTATGGTCAATCAAAATAACCCCAAGAACTTGCTAATGTTATATCAATAAACAGCTTTTTATTGAAAGACTGAAAGAATTAAATAGAAGGCACAGTAGCACTGCAAAACTTTTCAGGTTGTAACAATCTTTTTGTAGGTATATATAAAACCCGGACTTTCTGTTAAAAACGTCCACTGAACAAGCCCAAAATCCTTATTTGTCATCTTTCCCTTTAGTTTTTCTGTATACCATCTCTCGAAAACTGGCCAGAATCTTGTTTTCTCTCTTTCGTCTCTCTTCTTGGTTAAAGGATGCAAGAGCTCTCTTCTCATCTGCACTATAGATCTGGTTCTCTTTCCGTAGTCGCACAGCCTCCATTCGGCGATGCCTGGGGATAATTTTATTTTTGGCTTAATTTCTCAGTAATTATTCTCACAGTACTTTTTCACTAACCCTTTCTTAATACAGAGTGGCTCATTTAAAAATCTGACAAATAGAGGCCTGGCTGGTGTAGCTCGGTGGATTGAGTGCAGGCCTGGAGATCAAAGGGTCGCTGGTTTGATCCCCAGTCAGGGCACATGCCTGGGTTGTGGGCCAGGTCTCAGTTGGGGGCACGTGAGAGGTAACCACACACTGATGTTTCTCTCCCTTTCTTTCTCCTTCCATTCCCCTCTAAAGATAGATAAATAAAATCTTTTTAAAAATCTGACAAACAGAAACTGTTTTGTAATGGGTTATATTTTTAAAAGATTCATTTATTTTATCTGCCAACATGTCCTTTGATTCATTTCTAGTATTCAAATAATAATCTCTGAGATTCTGTAAACGTCATGAAAGCCATTAATTTTAAAAACTAAGGGCCTAAGTCTAGTTCTGCTGTCTCCAGTACAACCAGAAATGGCAAATTATTAAACCTCCTAGGTGATACGTGCGATCTGCCTTTGTGAAATTGATAGTAGGATGGATGAAAGACTTAAGCTGTCATCAATTAGGTAGAACTTCTTTAAGGTTCAAATTTCTCATACAACCAAAAGAACCAAGTCTACACCTACAATTGAATTTAACTCCTTAGACTCTAGTAGAAGCTCAAAGAAAATAAAGAAGGGATTTAGCACAAGATCCAAATCGGGAAACTATAGTGGCAGGGGCAGAGGGAAACTATTACATCATCTTCAAAAGGTTGCTTAGTTAGCAGGAAAACTTCATGAAAACCTGCCTCTTTTATGTGTATGTACCCAATCCTATAGAGTCAGTTCAAGATGAAGCATGAGCTGTCTAGAAAAATAGAGAAAACCGAGTGAGAAGAGGGGAGAACCATTTCAGGTTAGTGTGGAAGTTGGGGAGTGGCAGGATGGAGAGTGAAGGAGATGACAATGTGTTTAGGTTGCTCAGGGTACAGTGAATAGTTTATTTGGAACAGGAAGTGCTATGTGAACGATGCTGTAATAAACCTCTATGTAAATATCTCCTAGTACATGGGAAAGATTTTCTCATGGGTATCTCCGTATGCATTTACTGGGTCATAAAAGTATATGAATGCTCAACTTTCCAAGATAATGGCAGAGTGTTTTTCAAGGTAGCTGTACCAATTTACACCATCACTAGTAATACTTAAGAGATCCTGTAGATTCATATCCTCTCCAATGCTTGGTATTGTTAGAACTATGAACTTTTGTCTATCAAATGTATGTAAAAGAGTATTTTAGTATGTTCTTAATTTCCATTTCTGATGATAATGAAGTCGTTTTATGTACATATAGGCCATACATACTTCTTCTGACAAATGCCTGTTTGTGTCATTTTCCCACTTTTGGGTTGTTTATTGGTATTCTTTAATTATTCTCAATGCTAACTGTATAACGGTTGTGTGCATTGCAGGATCTTATCCCAGCTTGGAACTTGTCTTTTTACTCGTTAAAAGATGTCTTTTGATGAACAAAAATTCTTACTTTTAACTTAGACAAATTTAGCAATATTTTGTTTTATGGTTATTGTATTTTTTGTCTTCTTTAAAAAACACTGTTTCCACCCCAAGATCTAACAGATATTTGCTCATATTTTATACTAAGAGTGTTAAAGTGGTTTCTGACATTTAAGTCCTTAATCTAGCTGTACTGATTTTTTAAATGTGGTAATACAGGGATCTACTTTCATCTTTTTCATATAGATAAGATTTTTTTCCTGAAGCATTTACTAAATAGTTTATTCCGTCCCCAGTGATTTGACAGGCCATCTTTTTCATATACCTAGTTTCCATACACGTATGGCTCTGACCCCGGGCTCTGTATTTTATTCCATCACACAATTCATTGGTACCCCCATACTTTCTAATGTACTGTAAGCATTATAATAAGTCTTCACATCTGGTAGAACAAATCTCATCTTCCTCCTCCTCTTCTTCAGAAGTAACCTAGCTATTCTTGGCCATCTAGTCTAACATATACATTTTAAAACTAACTTATTATAAGTATCATGAAAAATCTGTTGTGATTTTGACTGGAACTGCACTGAATCTACAGATCAATTTGGGAAAAACTGACAACTTTACAATATTGCCTTTCATCCACGAATATGCTATCTCTCCATTTATTTCCATCTAAGTGTCTCAATAATTTTATAATTTTCCCTGTAGAGCTCCTGGACATCTTTTATTAAGATTTATTCCTAAGTCCTTCATATTCTCTGATACTGTTATAAATGTTATTTTCTTTTTTATTTAGTTACATTTTCTAGTTGTATGTTGCTGGTACACAGAAATGCAATTGATTTTTGTGTATTAACCTTATATCCAACCATTTGTTAAACCCTCTTCTTATTTATAATTTATCTCTAGATTCTTTAAGATTTTCCATATAAACAATCCATATCATTCACAAAAATGACATTGTTATATCTTCCTTTCCTGTCCTTATGTGTCTAATTTCTTTTTCTTATCTTATTGTGCTGATCCTCAGATATAATGTTTTCAAATGTTGGCCCTCTGAATTCTAAGATTCTGGAAGTGCTTCAGAGGTGCTGTTAATATTTGCCTCCAATCTTATTTTAAGATATTTATCAACTTTTAAAACTTTATGTAAAGTTTTTAAAAAAGATTTTATTTATTTATTTTTAGACAGAGGGGGAGGGAGGGAGAAAGAGAGGGAGAGAAGCATCAATGTGTGGTTGCCTCCTATGCACCCTCTACTGGGGACCTGGCCTGCAGCCCAGGCATGTGCCCTGACTAGGAGTCAAAGCAGAGACCCTCTGGTTCACAGGCTGGTGCTCAACCCACTGAGCCATACCAGCCAGGGAAAACTTTATAGAAAGTTTTTAAAAACCCAAACTTCAGTCTGATTTTGGTACAGATGTCCTATTCATTCTCCTTGTTCTTCTTGGTACTTTGCTTTCTCTCCCCTAATTTTATATTAATTTTCCCATGCTGAACCTGATTTCTGTCATAATTCTTTTCTGTTCTTCATCCTCAGAGTCCACAGAGAACTAGAGGCAAACTTAGAAACTAGGAAATGCTGTCTTATGAAAATTCTTTCTTAACTAGAAAAATGCTACATTCCCGTGGGGCAGTGATAAAGAGCTGAATTTAGATATATCCTCCATAGGGTAAACTATCTGTACCAAAATATGAAATAAGAAAAGACACTGGAAAGACTGATTCTTTGACATAGCTGATTTTGAGGCTGAGCTGCATACACAGAATTTCAGACAACCACATTTATATTAATAAAACCCATATTAAAACAATACTTATACTTTACTTTTGATTAGAAATGGTCACTTAATGAAAATCGATCACCAAATATAATTCTGGTAGTGGGAAAGAAGGAAATGATCTAATACCAAAACTGATTTCAATGCCAAGAGCATACCTGCTACCACTCATTACGTAACCCGAGCATTCAAATGATGCAATTTCTTCACTTGTCAAACCAATTTCACCTCTTCGTGGGATACGTTTTCCAGCTTTTACATATTCAGCCATAGCTGCACCTTCACCAGGTAACAGGGCATGGCCATAGCTACAAAATAATGCAGAATTCAGAAAAGGTCCATTATAAAAAGCCCAACATCTAAAGAGAACACAGAAATTCATTTACTCTCAGCAAACAGTGGGAATAACAGTTGCTGAGTGGCAGCATGTTGGGAAGCCCAACACAAATTATTTTAACTTAATTAGTAAACAGTGCCCTGTGACCTATGTAACCAACCCAGAAGTGCAGAGATACTTTGGAAGAACAAAAGAACTGGTGTTAGCATGTATAGATTCATGTTTTACAGTTATGGATAAATTTATCCCTAAGGCATTGCCATTACTGCTCCTTTCAGTGAATTCCTCTTCCCTTTTTCCATGAAAAAAAAGCAAAGAAATAATATACCTCAAATTTAACATACTATTAAGCCTTATAACAAATAATAACACATGTAGTAACAATTATCTACTACCTTTCATTCAAGGGGACTTTAAAAACTATCATCCCTTCATTCAACTTATTAAATGCTTTTTAAATATCTATTAAACAAAATAATCTCTGTTCTTGTGGAATTTCTAGATTAATAAAGATATAACTGCAATACAATGTAAAATATATAATACATTTCATAAGAGAAATAGAAAATGCTTTGAGGACTAAAGGATGAAAGAGGGTAGGAATCACACCTACTTTGGAGGGAAGGTACTGGGACTCAGCACATACCCCCCACCTTTTGAAAAGGGCTTTGAAGGATAGTGAGGATTTTACCAGGAAGAAATTGGAGGTAGTGAAGAAAACTGGGCTGGGAAAAGAAGGGAAAGCATGTTGGGAGAAGAAATAAGGGAAACAAGGTACAATGTGGGCAACTGCACAGTAACCACTGGGAAACTTCACTAAGCTCAGTTAGAACCTGAGGTATAAAAAAGGGGGCAGAGGGAGATAAGCTTGGAAAGGTTAAGTTAGGGCCATACTTTTGAGGAGGTACTTTAGATATTGTAAATACACTGTTACTTACTTCAGAGGTTTATCATCTTGAGAGGCAAGTGTTTTTGGAGCCTCTGGGCCAATTAAATCCGAGGGTTCCTCAGGCTCTGCATGAAAGATGTTCAGAAATATATTCACATTTTGACTAATTGGTTAGTTAATTTAATGTTTTATCTGTTCTGAGTCAAAGTCTATCAGGGAAACTTGTAACAGTGTTGATAATAAATAAGAAAAAAAAGAAAATCATAAGGAAGAGAAAATATATTTACAGTATTTTTGGAAGAAAATCCTTATATAAGTGGACCCATGCAATTCAAACCCATGTTGTTCAAGGGTGAACTGTAGTAATAAATACGCAAATAATGGGAAAAAAAAGTGTATCATCAGAACCTACTTGATCGATCCTTCCAGGGATTCTCCAGAAACTCTTCTTGGGAATCTTTAGAGCTTGAATCACTGGAATCTTTTCTGTTCTTCTTAGACTTCTTTTTCTTGTGTTTCTTCCTGTAATTATATAATTTGATACAAAGTGACTTAATTTTCCCATGTTAAAGGGCATATTATTTTTCAAGGCAATGAAAAGACTGATTAGATTTGAATTCTCAGCTTATTCAAACTTTTTAGAGAATAATTTTAATTTGAAAATCTAACTTATTTAACCAAATCCTGTTTCCCTATTAAAAAAAGACCCCTGACAGGAACAATGAAATACAGGTCTCATGTTGCAGAAAGATAACAGAAATAAAGAACTTAAAAAACAGCTATACCAATTTGAACATCAATAATTTTAAATGTAATGGATTAAAAAACATCAAACATGTATGAATACTTGGGTTCGCAATGATAGTAAAGTAACCCAGATCATTATTCTGAAAACTCTTAAAACAAAAAAAGTAAGTAATTATCCTGTTCTTCCTATACAAACTACTTCAGAGTACCCCAACAGTTCATGAGGGTGGGTTTATCTTATAAATATAGAGGACAGAACATGTTAAATGGATACCACAGGAATACAATCAGCAAAATCCATACTGCAGGAAACTATATAGGACAAATAATTTGGTTTCTTCAACAAAATGCAAGAACAAAAAGAGAAGAGGATTTAGAGGCTTATGTGACATGTCAACCAATAGCAATTCATGTCATTACTTGGATCCTGATTTGAATAGACTCTACAAAAAAAATGCCAAGAATTGAGAAATTATTGTTAAATATTTTAGATGTGCTAAAAGTACTGTAGTTATGTTTTTTAAAAGAATGTCCATCTTTTAGAGAAACATGCTGGTTTATGGACAAAATAATATCTGGGATTGGTTTCAAAATAATCTGGGGCGGGGCAGTGGAGACTGTCCATGAGTTGGTAATTGTGCAAGCTGGGTGGTGGTTACACGGGAGATCATTTCATTGTTTTATATAATTTTATATGTATGTGAAATTTTCCATAGTAAAAATTGAAGAGCTCTGGCTGGTGTGGCTCAGTGGACTAAGTGCCAGCTTGCAAATCAAACTGGTGACAGTTTGATTCATAGTCAGGACACATGCCTGGGTTGCAGGCCAGCTGTCCAGTAGGGGGCACATGAGAGGCAACCACACACTGATGTTTCTCTCCCTCCCTTTCTTCCTCCCTTCCCCTCTCTCTAAAAATAAATAAATAAAAATCTTTTTTAAAAAGTTGAAGAAAAAAACCAACGATCTGCGTTTCTTCTTCTTTTCCTTTTTCTTGGCTTTCTTTGATCTCCTTTTTGTATCTTCATCTGCAAATTAAACAATTTAGAAATTAAAAAAATTTTAACTCCACCCCCCCCAATACTTTTGAGTAGATAAATACCACATTACTGTTCTATTTGTCGTGACACAGAAATTCATTAATATATTGCTACTTGTCAGAATGTGCGCAAAGCACCAGGGACACGGATACTAAAGTCACTCTAAGTATTTGGTGATATAGGGCATTATTATTTTTATTACATGAAATAATAGTATTGTGATTAAGTAGGAAAATGTCATAAAAGAGATGTATACAGAAATCCTTAGAGTGGCAGTGTGATATTTATCATTTATATCGACTATCTCAACAACAAAAATACCGTATTTTGCTGTGTATAACGCCTACCCACGTTTTTGTGTGCATCATACATGGCATTATTATGCCCATGGCATGTAATCATTATACCCATGTATAATGTACACCCTTAGTTTTCCCTCAAAAATTTGGGCAAAAAAGTGCTCACTATATATGGCAAGATATGGTATTTGAAACAAATATGTGAAACTACTAACAATTGTTAAAATTAAGGTGATATGCATATGGTACTATACTATGCTCTCTACTTCTCTGAACGTTTGGGTATTTTCAAGATGGAAAGAGAAAAACCTTTGTGTGTGTTTAAGAGGATGCTTTCCAGCAGTGCAGTCTAATGCAGGTGACGGAGGTAAAGAGATTGCCAGCATCCCGAGTGACAGAGGAAGCATGGGGTGCTCTAGGCCTGCACAGGAGTCTCACAGTCAGGCTGACTTGGGGAGGGTGGTTGAAGAATGGCTGACCAGGCAAAGGTGACTCTTAAGCTAGCTCTTTTTAAAATCAGTTCTATCGCAAAAGTAATGCCTGCCCATCGTTGAAATGAGTAAGCTAAGCCGCATGCAGGGCGAGACTGGCACTGCAGGCAGATGGACTACCTGCATCAAGTAACAAAATCAAGAGAAGGAACGTGAAACACTGAGGAGACAGAAAGTAGTCCTCAGGCTACAGAGGACACCATGAGAGAAAGTGACAGGGCATGTGTGATTAGAATGGACCAATCAGGGTGTGAACTTCACTGTGAAGCCTATATAGTGCTACTCAAGGGTTTTGAGAAGGGGACTGACATGCTTGGATTTGTGCTTTAAGGAAGATGGGTCTTGCAGCAGTGAGAAAGAAAAGTGACAGTGGGGGCCAGGAAACCCAGGTGACGGCAGAGGAGGGGACACCTTTATGTAATGTGTCCCCAGAGGAGGCAGCCTCTACCGATCATCAGGCAGGACTAGGCGCAAACAGGTGGCTTTTGTGATGTGCCAGCCCACAGGGTGTCCTCCTTAAATGAGCTGCCAGCCTGAAGGGGCTCTTTATGGTGTGGCTGTTTGAAAATTGCACAAAGGTGCCCACTGAGTGTGAGAATTACACAAAAGAGCCGCTCCTCTGGGCTGAGGCAGCCCCATATGGCCTGGTTTGGTACCACGTCTTGCAGCCCAACCCCAACTTGGTTCGGTGCCACGTGCCTTGGACACCTGCACACAACCAGTCTAGTCACCCTAGTTACGTGTGAATCCCAAATGTGTGACAATGATGCTCCATGCCTCTTTTCTCCTTCTCAAAGAACTATCCTGCAGTTGCCGTGTTGATGAAATAGCAAGCACGTAGCTGGGTGCCCATCCCAAAGTCAGTGAGCGTCCAAAAACTCTTGACTATTATTATTGTTTTTAAGAACCTGCTTCTGAAATAAGCTTTAGAATGTAAAAGTAGTTCTGAGCTGAGGCCTGCAGAATCATGTGACTATCTTACCAGAGGAGTCTGTTTCAGAATCAGAGTCACTGTCACTATCGTCAGAATAATTCTTGTGTTTTCTTTTAGTTGACTTTTTCTTTCTTCTTTTCTTGGACCTTTCTTTTGAGTGACTATCCTTCTTCTTCTTCTTCTTTTCTTCTACAGAGAATACAAATAAAAACTAACTTCTAAAGAAGTATGTATGTATGTATATATATCTGAATATCAATTTTATTGTATTTGAAATACTGAAAAAGAATATGTGATAGACAATTTGAACAAAAGCAAAGTCTAATGTTTAACTATTTATAAACTTACTTTTTAACTTCTAAATAAAAAAGTTCTGTATTTAAAACATACCTTCTGAGGCAGTGAGTGGGGCCAGGATTTGGTAGTTGGTGCTGAAAGAAAAACCCTTGGGTGCATCCTTGCCCTGGGACTGTGCCAGTAGCAGCTGTCGTTCAATGACACAGAGGAAAAAAAATAAAACATACCTTCTGAAGTAGAAGCTGAAGTGGTGCTTTTCTTTGGTTCCTCATCCTCTACTGGTGTATGTTCATCAGAGCTGAATTTAAAGAACATGGTTATTGCAGTGATCATGTACTGTAAGTTTGAGAATATGTGAATTATACCTGGAATGGATGATTTCTCTCATCAGCAAGTATTACTTAAATAAAATAGGAGGTACGTAAGATAACATATTGCTCTATAGTTGTTTGCTTTCGAAGGATGGAATGGTAACTATTTTTCCCATAGCTCTTCCTTTTGAAAGAAGAAAGTATGTTAACTGCCCTTATCTTGAAAAGTACATTTCTGATTGCACATTGACTGATATATTTTCTTTGTGCATATAGACTAATGATGTGATTTGTAAAATGATGGTTCAGGACTGGCTCATGCACAGACTTACGTCCTTGAAACAATTCTGCCACTTGATAAAATTCTCAAGGGCTCTGACAGTCTCCTTTAGAAGAACCAAGAACTTACCTAGAATTCATCCTTCATTGGGAAAAATAAGTTACAAAAGCATTTCCCTTCCAATCTCACTCACAAATCTGCGGAATTATTTGTAGTTAGTAGTATAAAGATGGCCAAAAGAAGACTTGTAAGTATCATACAGTGATGTCTCAATGACTAAACAGTGGAAGGTACAAACGGACTCTTTGAAGTCATACCAGCCTAGCTCACAGGCCTGAGGTTAAAAAGGCATCAGTCTCCCCCCACGCTTTACAGTCCAAACCCCTAGGACTCTTGAACATCCAAGCAGTTTGTGCTTTGAGCCACTTTTGGACAAAAATGGCTCCATTTTCCCACTGTGTTTTTCTTAAACTAGTTCGGTGTTTTATAATCTCCTAGTAATAAAGCAGTATTGTTTCCTAAGCTGTAACAGTTGACTTTATTCTTCTACTTTGAAAAATCTTGACTTGTTTGAATGTATATAATGTATATAAAGGGAGCCTTAATGTATTTGTTTTCATAATTTAATATTGTTTGTATTTGTGCTTATATAATAGTTTTTAATATAAAGTATTATAGAATTGAAGGTGGAATGCTTAGAACCAAAGTTATTCTCTTTTATTTTAATCCTCACCCAAGGGTATGTTAATTGATTTTAGAGAGGAAAGGAAAGAGAGAGAGAGACAGAGACAGAAATATTGATGTGAGAAACCTCAATCAGTTGTGCCCTGACCAAGGACAGAACCCACAACCCAGGTATGTGCCCTGACCAGGAATCGAACCCATAACCTATTGGTGTATGGGATGACATCCCAACCAACCGAGCTACCTGGCCAGAGCAAACCAAAGTTATTCTTTAAAAAATTTTCCCCCTAATTTCTATTTATTGATTTTAGAGAGGCAGGAAGAGGGAGAGAGACAGAGAGACATCAATTTGTTGTTCAACTTATTATATGTATTCTTTGGTTGATTCTTGTATGTGTCCTGACTGGGAGCAAACCCCCAACCTTGGTGTACCAGGACCGTACTCTAACCAACTGAGCTCCCAGGTCAGGGGTCAAACTCATTCTTAATAAAAATCACCACATGCTTGGACCATGAAAAAAAATAAAGAGCATAGTTATAAGAATTGGAAATGTCAGGGGCTGGTCAAGATGACGGGAGTAGCTAAATGCGGTACTCAGAACCTCACGTGATCACATCAAAATTACAACGAAACTACACAACAACCATCATTCAAAACCACCTGAAATCTAGCTGAAAAGAAGTCCTATAACTAAAAATATACTGAAGAAGCCACATCAAGACTAGTAGGCGGGACAGAGACACTGAACAGGCTGGTCCCATACCCACATATGGTGGTTAAAAACCCGGAGGGATATTTTGGCTGCAAGGTTCCCTCTCTGAGGAGCAAGTTGTCCCAGCCTCACCCAGGCATCCCAGCTCAGGTTCCAGTGCCAGGAAGAGAAAGTCCTATAACTTCTGGGTGTAAACACCAGCAGGGATTATGGCAGAGTGAGACAGAGGCTTCCAGAGACCCAGACATTCCTCTTAAATGGCCCGTGCATGGACTTACTTGGTCTCACTCCCTCTGAGCTCCAGTACTGGGGCAGCAGGTCGAAAGGCACCAGGGACATATGGGGAGGAACTGAACTGGCTGGCATCAGGGAGAGGGCTGGAGGGGCAGCTTTCTCCCAGACAGAAATGCAGACAAAGGCCATTGTTTCTTTGCTGAGCCCTTTCCACACAGAGCCAGCAGGTGGGTGCCATACCTGAAAAACCATCTATACTTGACGAAACAGATTTTGAAACAAAAGTCATTAACAAGAGACAAAGAAGGATCCCGCACTTCCATTACCGGGTATTAATCCAGAGAAAACCAAAACACTAAATTGAAAAAAACAGATACATCCATATGCTTACTGCAGCATTATTTACAATTGCCAAGATACAGAAGCAGCCTAAGTGTCCATCAATAGATGAATGGATAAAGAAGTGGTGCATACATAAAATGAAATATGATTCAGCCATACAAAAGAATGAAATCTTGCCATCAGCAACAACATGGTTGGACCTAGAGGGTATTATGCTGAATGAAATAAGTCACACAGAAAAAGACAAATGCCAGATAATTCACTTATATGTGGGATTTAATAAAACAAATAAGCAGAACAGAAACATACTCATAGATACAGAAAACACTGACAGCTGCCAGACAGGAGAGGGGTTGATGGGGGTGGGTGAAAAAGATAAAGGGATTTAGAAGTACAAATTGGTAGTTACAAAATAATCACAGGAATATAATGTATAGCATAGGGAATAATGTAATACTATATATGGTACCAGATAGGTACCAGATTTACTAGGGTGATCACTATGTAAGTGATATAAATGTCTAACCATGGGATTGTACACCTGAAACTAATATAATATTGTATGTCAATTGTAATTTAAAAAGAAAAAAAGAATCAGGAAAGTGATAAAATATGAACCACAGAGTATAAAAAGTAACAGCCCTGCCTGGTATAGCTCAGTGGATTGAGTGCCAGCTGCAAAGCAAAGGGTCGCCAGTTTGATTCCCAGTCAGGGCACATGCCTGGGGTGTGGGCCAGGGCCCCAGTGAGGGCCACGTAAGAGGCAACCACACATTGATGTTTCTCTCTCTCTCTCTAAAAAAATGAATAAAAAATCTTTAAAAAAAGTTTCAGTAAGAAATGATTTCCAAGAACTATTAAAAGCAAGATTTGGACTGCTTTTCTAAGAGTACTGTTTAAGGATTTACCATGTTCATGATAATAGAGTAATCACTGACATTTGCATAATGCTTTAGAGTTTACAAAGTGCTATTCAAACTGATATAAGCATGCAAGATTTATATATTCAGAAGAAAGCACAGGACAAAAGTAAGGCAATGGGAGCCATAAGGAAAGATGAAAGAAAGTGGGGATAAGAAGGCTGTGGGAAGATGTCATAATTTTATTCGACGTGTGTAAAGGACATATGGCAGAGCAGCAACTGTTCTGTCTCCCCAAAGCAAGAAGAGCCTCACGCACTACAGTAAAAACAGATCTCATTCTGTTGTAGAAAATTCCGAAAACGAGTGTTATAAAAAAATCCTGTAACAGTTTAAACAAGGAGTTCTTATACAATCTTTTCTCTGCAAATCACATCTGGAATAATTTAGGTGTTGCTTAGAAAAGTAATTTTAGGGTTCTTTCCAACTCTAATTCTTTGAGGTCAGACTCTTCAAGCATTTTCCAAAGGTATTTATAAAAACAAGTTTCAGATAATAATGCTTTATCACCCTGTCACAAACGACAAGTCTACCAGTCAAGTCCACTGTTTCGACTCAACCTAAAGTAGACACAGAAACAGAGGAAAAAGAAGCAGTTTATCAACAGTACCAAAGAGGAAAACAATAAGGAAAAGGAAAAAGGATTAAACCTTCAGATACTACTTGATATAGGAGAACTAAACAAAACCATATCAGTATGTTTATTGAAAAAAATTCCTTGGGAAAAGAATAGAAAGCCCAGAAATAAACCTACACATATGAGGGGGGACTGAGAAAAAAACAACAACCCTGGAATCTATTTCTAGAAAGTTGTGTATTTATTCTTACATGTTTAAACTTCAGACACCTTCAAAGTACTCTCCATTTGATGCAATACACCTATTGAGACATTTTTTCCCCACCGCTCAAAACAGTTTTTGAACTCATCAATTTTGATGCCTTTTAGTGCTTCTGCTGTTTTTTTGTTTCACCTCTTCCACATAAGCAAAACATTTCCCTTTGAGGACTTTTTCATCTGGGGAAACAAACCCCCCCAAAGTTGCTCAGGGACAGATTGAGTGAACAGGGAGGGTGGGACACAGGAGTCATGCCATTTTTGGTCAAAAACTGCTGAACACTCAGCATGGTGTGGGCAGGTGTGCTGGTAAATCACCCATCATGAAATGTGCAAACACACTGAAAGAGCCTTCAAAAAAAATTCACTGAAGCTGAAAGCAGCCTCTCACAACAATGCCAGCTGACAAAACTGATATAGATGGGTTCCTAGAACACTTGCCTAGTGGGAAAAGCCTGTACTACAAGGGTCCCACCCGCCAGAAGATAATTCCGGTTTGTTGGGGGGGGTCTCCCTCATATACGGTCAATTAATTTACAACAAAGGAGCCAAGAATATATAGGGTGAGGCAAAAGTAGGTTTTCAGTTGTGAGTACACAAAACACAGTTTATTCTTGTATTATTATTTGTTATATTACTTTCCATATGAATAACTATAAATCTACTTTTGCCCACCTTGTATAAAAATATCAAATCATTATGCTGTATACCTGAAACCAATAGAATGTTGTATGTCAGTTATGCTGTAAAAAATCCCTTTGTAATGCTAACATCTGACATGCAAACTGCTATTGGATTGAGAAAAAAATGATCAGAAATAGTATAAAAGTACTTGTTTCAACACAGAACCCTTCTATGAGTAAGAAATTAGCATTCTGTGAATAACGATTTAAGAAAACTATTAACATGCTAAAATCTGCTAGCAACAGATATGTTCAATGTCTTTAAAACTTAAGGGGTAGCCCTGGCGGTGTGGCTCTGTGGACTGAGTGTCAGCCTTGGAACTGAAAGGTTACTGGTTCAATTCCCAGTCAGGGCACATGCCTGGGTTGTGGGCTGTGCCCCCAGTTGAGGGCATGTGAGAGGCAACTGACCAATGTTTCTCTCCCTCCCTTCTCCTCTCTAAAAATAAATAAAACAAACTTAAGGGGTAGAATAGCATTAATCACAAGAAAGGAGAAAAATGTGAGCTGTACTGAACAAAAATTTTGACAATAGACTCTGGAGTTAAACAAATGTTACATTTAAAAATAAATTTTTTAATCACTTACTCTGGTTCTGGATTCTTTGGAGAAAGTCCCCATACTTCAGGAGCTCCCAATTCTCCAATCCTCTCTCTCTCGCTTAATCTCCTAGAAGATATAGGCACGTGAATTATAACTCTATGGATAAACTGTTTCCTAAACGTATAAATGAAATTCCAAGGAGTCCAGTTAAGTCCTATTTTCCCTTACATTTTAAACTTTAAATTAATAAAAACTTGGCTTAGCCCTGGCTGGTATTGCTCAGTGGATTGAACTCTGGCCTGAAGACTGGAAGGTCCCAGGTTTGATTCCTGGTCAGGACACATACCTGGGTTTCAGGCCAAGTCCTCAGTTGCAGGTGTGTGAGAGGCAACTGACTGTTTCTCTCCCTCTCTTCCTCCCTCCCTTCCCTTTTCCTAAAAATAAATAAATTTATTAAAAAATAAAAACAAAAATGGCTTAAATGTGAAGTCAAAAATTATGATCTGATGTTTTGATAGTACTATCAACTGGCACTGACTACAGACAGCTTGAGAGGCTGGGCCGGAAATGTAGCCTGGGAGGTTGTCAAGTGCATCCTCTCTGCCTTACATGTGACATAGCTCCCAACTGCTCATTTCATCTTCTGCAATGTGTGAGTGACAGAAACAGTGTTACATTCGTAAATAACTTCTTTTGTTTACGCACATTTATGAAAATAGAAAGGTCAATACTTTTGTTTGGTCAAACCTTCTGTTTGTTGACATTCAAGAATTAATGAAGAAAATAGCCCTGGCTGGTGTGGCTCAATAGGTTGGGCATCATCCCACAAGGTAAAGGATCACTGGTTCAATTCTAGGTCAGAGTCTGGGTTGCAGGTCAGGTACATAGTTGGGAGCATGTGAAAAGCAACTGACTGATGTTCCTCTAGCCCATTAATGTTTCTCTCCTTTTCTCCCTCCCTTCCCCTCTCTCTAAAAATAAATTAAAAAAGAAATAAAATCTCAAAGAAACGATTAATGAAGAAAATAAAAATGAAGCATTAGAAGTAGAAAATAAAAAGATCTCAGAAAAAAAAATTTTATTTGATAAAAAAATTGTCCTCAATGAGATACAGGGTTTTTCTTTTCCCATTTAGTTCCTTTTTAGAAAAAAGGTTATATCTCTATCTACTGTAAGAGGACACACAGAGAAAATCGTTTTATGTTTGTGATTTCTTCTCTTAATTTTCCTATTACTCATAAACAAACAAAAACAAACAAAAATAAAAACCTAAGGCTCCATTCCTCAAAGTTTAGCAGCTTGTGACTCCATTTGTTTAAAAAAAACCTTACAAAATAAATATAATTCTTTATTCAGGGGAAGAGGTATTATAATTGTGCAGAGTCAGGTTTCCCACTCGAAGAAACAGCCTAAAAAGAGACATACTTATAACTGAACTTGGAATACTGTGCATACAGGAGGAAGAATGCTTGACAGGCTGTAAAGAGCAAGCAGTCAGATTCAACCCCTGTTGCCATCTGTCCTTTGAAGATAAATTATTTATCTTCTAAATGTACAAATGCAAATTTCATCCAAAAGTTCCAACATCTTTTGGTGATGACTGTCTAGCAAGAAGCTGGTTGCTTTTTGACTGACACAGCCTGGGGATAACTTTCTGAAAAACTGAAGTTGGAGAGGTAGGTCTCCAACCTAACTCAGGACCATTTTTACTGATTCTGTTCCCAGGCAGGAAAACCTAATAATTAACACTGTAAGAACTATTTATTCGTTTCCAGGCACTAAATCATTACAGCTATAAAAGCAATTGTCCGAATTTCATCCCCTTTTAAATAGTGAAGAAATTAAGTTCAGAGAGGTTAAGTAACTTGCCCAAGGTCACACAACTACTAAGCAGCAAAGCAGGGCTTTGTATTCAGGCAGTCTGATTCTGAAGCTTGTCCTCTCCACTATGATTTACTAGCTTCCCTCTCCTGGAAGAAAACGATTCATGGGGACATCTGCCACTGTTGAAACCTTAACCTCAATGCCTATAATACTTTTAAATGTCTTGTTTTTAACACATAGTGTATGTAAACCACTTAGTGCAGTGCCCAACACATAATTTAACTCCCATTAAGCATTAGACATGAAGACTTAGAAATCATTATAACCTGTTTCCTTTCTACTTTTTAAACTATCTATTTTTCCACTTCAATACTCATTCTTATTAGAGACCTGATCTCACCCTGACCTTACCTTTCATGGTCAAGATTGAGAACACTTTTAACAGGACCCTTCTCAATGTAGCCTAATCTAGAGTTGAGCAGATCACTTTTCCTGCACTCATTCAATTATCTTGTCATTAGAGGTTTTTCTTCTCTCCAGTTTAAACCTTTCATCTCAACCCTTCCCAACCGGCTACAAAATATTACCACTTAACATATCTTGTTTAAACCTGTCTGATCGTTCAACAAGCAATGGTAGCATGCCTACAGAGTGCTAAGCACTGTGAATTTTGTAATCAATACAGTAGGGTCCTTCCTTTCTATTAGAACTCTCTAGTGGGAAATAAAAACATGCTCACGAATGATAACCACGCAACAAAGTAAAATGCTTCCTACAGGATTCCCGTAGGTCTGAGGCGCTCGACCGTGTCCGCCAGAAGCCAGGAGACAGAAGGGTGTAGCGGCAGACCAGGGCACCGGATTAAAGGGGACCGAGGATGAGTGAAAACTTAAGGAAATCAAACAGCAAATAAGGCATTGTAGTGGGTGCACTGATGAAAATGGGCACAAGGCAGGCGGAGAGAGAAATGGAAATAGTCAGTAGGGATGAACTAGGAAATTGGACTTGGAAGGTAGGTGGGTGCAAGAGAGGGTGCGTCCATCTCACTCACTTCTGCCGCAGGCTTTCCTCCCTCTCCTTGTCCAAGAGGCTAGGCCAAGGCTTGTCGTTCCCGTAGGGGCGTGAGTAGCCGCCATAATAGGCGGACGAGGAGGCAGAAGAGAAGGGGGTGCCCCGCATCGCAGAGGGCCGCTCTCGAGAGCGTGACCGCGAGCGGGAGCGGTAGGGCTGGTTTCGGGAGCTCTGGCCCAGGCCACTTGACTGATGGCTGAGGCCATTCCGATCCCCAGACCGAGAACAAGAGTGCGAGCGAGAGCGGTGGCCCCGCGGGGACCGGGCGGATTTGCTAGGCTTAGGGCTCCTCGACGAACTGCGACGCCTCACCCTGGAGCCCGAGGCCTCCCTCTCCGGGCTGCGGGAACCAGACACCGGAGCCATCACTGCCGTTGGGTCCCCGAAGCCGGGGAGAAGGGGGCGCTCTTGCCAGCCTGGGAAGATACCGGTTGCCTACGCTCCCCGTAGGACCAGTCACCGCGCCACAACCCGAACTTGACGAAACCTTGGAAACAGTTCCGGGTACGTCGGCAAATACCTTCCCCTGACGTAGCTCCTCGCGCCGACCGGACGTGATGTATGTAATGGTATAAAGAAGCCGGTGGGGTAACCTGGTCCGTGCGTCCTTCCGGTTCCCAGCGAGGTTGCTGAAGTCTGAACTGGACCGGAGTCCTTGTTCCTTCTTCATCCTGGATTTGAAATACTTGAATAGAAGGACGGGATGACAGGCCACAGGACTTTTCACTGAGCGGCCGTATGAACAACAAAGCCAATATAATTTTACATATCTGTTTGTGTATGTGTGTGCATATGTATGCGCCCCAGCGCGCACACACGCGCACACACACACACGCACACACACGCACACACACACACACACACACACACACAATTTTTATTCCCAGTCCCAAGCAAAATAAGTAAAGTTCATCTTAATTGGTGGTTAGCTATGACGTGTAAACTCCGTGTTGTCCAATTATCTTAGAGGGTACAAATTCTATGTTAATGACTTGAGCCTGATACACTCCACTTAAGTTTGCAGCCTACAGAAAATTGCATGTTTATCCCCCAGAAATCCATCTCCACCAGTGTACTACAGCAAAAGGAATTTGTAACGCCCCCTCCTGTCCAGCCCCTTAAACTAGTCCCATCATATACCAACTCAGCAATATATGGTTAATGATCATTATTTCTATTCATTTTACACTGTTTTCAAGTGAAACAGCATTGGAGCACTAGTTCTACTGACTTTAATTTTTGAAAGCATAGAGAGTTTGCTGTGGAAATTCTGAACCCATTCTACTAGCAGCTAGATGCCCTCTGGACCTTTCCTCCTAAGAAGTAACTTATCAGACAGTGGAAACTAGTGCCATTAATTATTGGAAAACTCCTTTATTTTTTGGAATTTAAAGGGAAGATATATTACATAATATTAAATGGAAAAAGTGGACCACACTATTGAATATCTTTTTTTTTCCCATTTGGTGTATAGAGGTAGAATCTTATTTGGCGATAAAATATACCTTGGATTATTTACATTGGTACTTCAACCCAAGACTACAGAGACTTTATTTAACCTCAATAACCTTATATCTGTATCGACTTTCTCCATGTCAAAATTCAGGCTCTCATTGTCCCCAGTGTAATTAATTACTCATTTACTTTATCCCACAAAATACATATAGCAGTGTCAATGTAAAAATATCAACAGTACCACCAATGAAAGAATTACTGAAAAGAGTTGAAGATTTTATTCTTTAATTATTTTACCCTTAGGGCATACCCGCACTCAGGATGGATGACGAAAATGCTGTATCTTAAACTGACATGAAATTGTTTATCTCTATTTGGTTATGCCACTTGTGTAATTTAATACACAAGTTAATTTAATTTTACTTTCAATATTTAGGGACTAATTTTATTTATTCTTGTTGTATAATTATGTTGAATATTTTTTATGTAAAAACAATTGGTCATGAGCGAGGACCAAGAAATGAAGTAAGAGAAGTTATATTATTAAGGATGGAGATTTGGGGAAATTTCTAATAAAGTTTTGAGTGGAAAACCTACACCTAACTTTTGCAATACCAGGCTGCACACTTTTACATCAATTGCCTCTAAAAGTGAACTTTGCAACAGTGCTTGTTCTACCTGACCCTTATCATGCACTTTAGTTTCAATGATGAAACTCTTACCCCTGCACCTCTGATTGGCACAATACTCTTCTTGCTCAGTTTCCTTGGAGAAGCCTGTGTTTCTCAAATAGGAAGTGTGTGGGGGAAATCAGAGCACATAGGCAGGTACAGGCAGTCACAGAGGTAGGGCAGAGGTTGAGTCATGTGGAAACCCAACACAGCCAAGACAAAAAAATCATTCATACTCACATGGATCCATTCTTTACAGTAGAGTTAAATAGTTTGTGTGTTATGGGCTATGATGTATTCAGCTTCCATTAACTACTTCTCTTTGAAATCTGAGTTGCTTGAGCAGGTGCATGGCTTCACTCAGAGCACCAAGGGAGGGATCTGGGTTGTGGAAATGGAGGTTGAGGAAGTGGGAATTAGGAAGACTCACTTGTAGTTTGTGTCCGTTTCAATTTGTAGGTGCTTTCCAATTATGCCAACAATTGTTTAAGAAGTTGCGAGACTAAAACAAAGTTTTAAATCACTAATCTGTTTTGAAGGAATTTATGGGCTCAAAACCTGAAGTACATACTTTAAAGCATAATTTTCCTCTCAGATATTTCTCGGTTGATACAAACTTGTGCTCTCTAGTAACTCTACTGGGGTGCTGATTTTGTTGGTTCCTCTAACATCTGAATTGATGATCCATTTATAGGAAGGAGTTGACTTTTGGGTCAGGCAATGTGAATTTCATATTGGAAATACCATGCCATAAATGGACAATTATTTCTAATTCAACCTCATTGGGAGGAGTTGCATCTGTCAACAGGTAGAAATGTGGATGTAGATTGGAGTGTTCTGATGACCAAAAATAACACAAGATGAAATGGAATGATGTCACCCCTCCAGGATATAGTTTAACTAAGGAGCCTCTGTGTGTGTATACATGCATATGCATACAAAAATATAAAGAGAGGAAAGAGTGACTAATGCACCAGGCACCTAGAGAATAGGATGTTGATCAACTATACTGGAGGAGGCTAGTGGTGAGTGTGAGGAGGCTTATCCTCAACATCTGAGAGAGTGGAGAATGTAGAAGTGGCAAAACTTGGCAAATAATCCAGATCCCAAAGCAAGTCAATGGTTGTGGTGTCACAAATTCCAAATAAAATTGAACAACTATCAATTTGCATCTATGTGTGAAGGAGGAGAAAAGGGAAAGGAAGATGAATGAAGCTAAAGAAGAGACAGCCCACTTTTCTGCATTGCTTAACTCCAATTTACTGACGTTCTTTATTTGCGGCACTCTGGTACAAAACTATTGTGATTATGTAAAAGATAAATGTGCCGCACCTTTACATTTTGTTTAAGGGTGGATGTTAATATGGAACTGTGGCATTTCAGTTCCTCAGGTTGTAGCCTTCCTCTCATCTTCCCCTTTCCTCCTTATGCTTTAAAAATGCAAGAAAAGGAGTTCCTCAAAATGCAATTTTGCAAAATGTAACCAACACTATGCAAAGTACTTTTTTATCTATTATCAGATAAAACACACCCATAAACCAAAAACCAAAACAGGCACATTGAAAACATCAGATTCAACTGAGAGGAGATGAGAGCAATGTTTACACTTTGACCTTGTCTTGTGGTGTTTATTTATTTTTTGGTATTAAAAAAAACTGAATAGACTTTATTTTTAGAGCAGTTATAAGTTTACAGAAAAGTTGAGTAGAAAGTACAGAGTTCTTATATACTCCTTCTCTTCCCCTGCTTTCCACTCCTCCCTCACAGTTTCCCCTATTATTAATATTTTATATTAGTATATTTTTGTTACAATCAATGAACCAATATTGATAAATTATAAGTAACTGAAATCTATGGTTTACATGAGGGTTCACTCTTTGTGTTGTGCTTTCTAGGCTTTTGTGAAATGCATGATGTCATGGATCTACTGTTACCATATCATACAGGATAGTTTCACTGCCTTAAAAAAATCCATTGTGCTCCACCTATTAATCCTTTCTTTTTTGCCTTCTTCCCCTTTTACTTCTCTCCAAACTCCTATTAACCACTAATCTTTTTACTGTCCCTACAGTTGTTCCTTTTCCACAATGACATATAGTTGGAACCAAACTGGCTTCTTCCACTTAGCAATATGTATTTAAGGTTCTTCCATGTCTTGTTGTGGCTTGATAGCTCATTTCTTTTTATCACTGAATAATATTCTGTTGTATGGATGCATCATAGTCTATCTCTTCATCTATTGAAGGGCCTCTTAGTTACTTACAGGTTTTGGTGATTATGAGTTACTATAAACATTCATGTGCATGTATTTGTGTAGTTGTTCCAGCACCATTTGTTGAAAGACTGTCCTTTCTCTATTGAATTGCCTTTGCTCATTTGGCAAAGATCAGCTGACTATATTTATGTGAGTCTATTGCTGAGCTCTATTCTGCACCACTTATCTATTTGTTTACTCTTTAGGCAATGCCATAATATTTTGATTACTGTAGCTTTATACTGAGGCTTGAAGTTAGGCAGTGTCAGTCTTCTGGCTTTGTTCTTTTTCACTGTTAATTTGGCTACTTTTGGTCTTTTGCTTTTCCATAGAAACTTTAAGGTCAGTTTCTCAATTTCTACAAAGTAACTGGCTGGAATTTGATTGGGATTGTACTAAATCTATAGATTAAATTGGAATGAACTGACATCTTGACAATATCAAGTTTTCCTATCCACTAACATAGAATTATCTTTCCATTTATTCAGATCTTCATTAATTTCTTATTTTATTTTTAAAAAGATTTTATTTATTTATCTTTAGAGGGGAAGGGAAGGAGAGAGGGAGAGAAACATCAATGTACGGTTGCCTCTCTTGTGTCCCCTGCTGGGAACTGGCCTGCGACCCAGGCATGTGTAGACTGGGAATTGAACTGCGATCCTTTGGTTCCCAAGCCCATGCTCAATCCACTGAGCTACACCAACCAGGGCTTAATTTCTTATATTAGAGTTTTGTAATTTTCCATACGTAGACATTGGGATATTGCACATATTTTGTTTGGTTTTTACCTAAGTATTTCAGTTTTTGGTGCTAACATAAATGGGGTGTTTTAAATTTCAAATTCCAGTTGCTTGTTGCTGGTATATAGGAAAGTGATTGACTTTTGTATATTTACCTATGTCCTGCAATCTTGTCATAGTCATTTATTAGTTCTAGAAGGTTTTTTATCAATTCTTTGAAAATTTCTACCTAGACAATCATGTCACTGTGAACAAAGACAGTTTTATTTCTTCCTTACATGTCTGCATACCTTTTATATTACTTTTTCTTATTGCATTAGCTAGGACTTCTAGTATGATGTTCAATAGGAGTGATTAGAGGGGACATCCTTGTTTTGTTCCCAATCTTATGGTGAAAGCA